CAAACCTCCTCAAGGTTATCTGCTATAGAAAGACTCACCGAGGAAATTCTTCACACAAGGCCATCCAAACCCGAAAATGTCTGCCCACCACTCGTCACAAACTACCCTCCATTCTCCACTTGCTTTAGTGCATTAATTTGGATTTGTGATCACTTTTTTTTTTTTGGCCGACAACCTCATCCTACATTCACCACATCTGACTGCAAGTCCAATAGAAAAAAATTAAGATCATTCATTATTTGTGAACACGGAATAATTTAAGAAATGTTTTAAGTTAAGCCTTTGCGAAAGGAAAAACAATCGGTAAGAAGTAACCACGAAATAATCTCACCGTTGACTTCTTTGAGGAGGTCTAAAGAATTTAATATGCATGGGAAAAAAGTATTATTTTAATATCACACAAAAACGTCACAGCTTTATTTAGACTCAGGTCCTACAAGGCGAACAGAAGCTCAGTGTTATGTCGTTATCATGATCCATTATGCCAAACGTTACAGGTAAAGGAAAACAAATGTATATCGCACAGATAACAGTGAAGTGCTTCAACTTTTTCCGTCGTGAAAGCAGAATTACTCTTAGACATGGGGCCCTTTGATCAGTCTTGTTCGAGGGTGCAGCGTTACTTGATACGACAAAATTCCCTCGTTAATTAAAAGTATCTGAGTAGATTCCTGTTTAAGATTTCACGGGCAATGCGCTTTGCTAAAAAATTGGGTTAAATTTGAGTTGACATCAATCCCCTCCCTAAATTCTTAGGTATGCTTACCAAACAGAATGTTGGGTCTACTTCTAATTTAATTCACTTGCCACTCAATGTTTTAATGCAGCTTCCCATTTTTTCTATTTTGTTATTTACACTTTTGTTTTGAGCTACACACTTGTACAACACAGTGACCAACTTCAGTTTGAAGGTCGCGTTCATTTTCCTTATTCTTAGTTGTCAGCACCTCTATAACATCAAAAGCATTACCATTGCTCGTGTCGTAAGTTCTCCTAAATTAATACTTCTTTATAAGCAGTATTTTACCAGTATTTCTAATTAACGTCGGTTTCCACAGGCTAACAGTTTCCTCTACAACTGACAATAGTTGACTTAAGTTAAGCTCCTTTTGTAATTCCCCAGTTTTCAAATTTCCTTGGTTTGCAATTGAATGGTTTCAGACCCTCTTTGTGTCCTTTCCCTTTCGAAACTGCAACACAAACTTGACAATACAGTGGATACTTTGGCATCCAATAATTTCCGATAGCAGTTCCACTGATGTTGCCATATCCTTTCCACTTCCACTCCAGATATTTATTGTACTCGGTTTCGTTGTTGCTAAGATACTGGAGGTATTCAGCTAACAGTTGTGGGCTCTTGAAATCACGCACTTTTATCACTGAACGGTTAAGATAGGGCCCGGGTAGAAACTCATCCAGCTTATCTGTAGCCATGACAACAGGAACCGAGCCTGCATCCATTGCGTGGTGTAGTTGAGCATCCACAAAATAATCACAGTCTTGGTTGAAGAACACCAGGCTGAACTTGTACTGTCTGGCCAGCATGGATTTAGCATCTCTGAAATCAGTGCCCTGTTTGTTTTTGCCATACCTGCCCACTAGACTATTATTGTTCCTTAGACAGGCGCCGAAAGAATCAACCTTTACAAACTTCATTAGCTGCCTCATGTACTCGGTTCGAACTACCTCGCAATTTGAGAAAGCTGCCATAATGAGCCCAGTCTTATTCTTAAAAGGAACAGGGGGTGCTACACCAGGCAGCAAGACAGAGGGATCTGGAAAGTCTGAGTCCAGCCGATAACTTTTCAAGTAGCTAAATTTCGACATGAAGCTGGCGTCGTTCAATACCGGTGTGTAAATTGGATTTTCTCGAGTCTGCAGAATCCAAGGCACTGATTTTATTGGTGGGTCTGGTCGTGGGTCCCTGGCATGGACTAAAAAGGCATCTGCCTCTTTTGCTCTGGATTGGTTACTAGTCCACTCGCACGGTACTGGGCAGTCACCTTTTTCAAATGTTTCGTGAAGATTGAGCCTTCTTCCAAAAAACGTTGACCAGTATACTATAAGCCAACGCTTTGTCTCTGATCCTTCGGTTATTACATTTAAGCCGTGCTGTGTTGTGATTTTTGCAGTTTTTATCTTTAGCTTTGAACTATCCTTAACAGGTTCCTTCATGTCATCCGTTTTCGTTTTCCATACAGCAACTGGTATCATGGAGGTGGAATTTTCATTCGAGGGAAAATAATTTGTCTCAAGTTGCCACAGTAGCACTGCAAACAATATCAAGCCAAGCGTACACTTTAGAGCGTACTCTTTTCCTCCCATTCCGTGACAAATCTTTTGTTTACGTCGTAGTACAGGTTACCTGTAAATAACAACATTTTTGAAGGTTATTAGGAGAATGAACGGCTTGTCTGAGTCTTTCCTCTAGGAAACCAGGGAGGTGCATTTACAATGAGTGACACATTGATGTTTTCTGTGAAGTCATCCACTGGTGTAAGTCAGGGTACACCCCAGTGCCACTCCATACAGTTCATACAGTTAACCTAACAGAAACGTTGACGCGATTACTCAGTAAGAAGGTAAAGTTAAAGTGGGGTGACCGATGTGAGAAGGCGCTCGAGGAATTGTATGCCATGTTATAGAGAGCCACTGTATTGACAGCGCCTGATTTCAAATCCCCGTGCAAGTTGGCTCTTGATGCAAATGATGTTGCCGCTTTTCCGTGCTGTTGCAATAGTATGATCACGGTGTGGAAAAATCGTTTTTCATTTTTTCAAGAAGTTCAACTAAAGTCAAAGGAGCTATTCTACCATCGAGAAAGAATGTTTGGCACTAAACTAAGCACTACAACATTTCGAAGTTTACGTTTGTTCCTAAAGTTTGCCTGTTGTTGTTTTTAGTGATCACAACCCCCCTGTCCTTATACACGAGTTGAAAGACAATAATCAACAATTGCCGAGGTTAGTGGAGTTTAATGTTGCAATTAAGAGTAGATTTCAAGCATGAGACACATGAAAGGAATGGACAATGTTATTGCAAACTGCCTCTCAAGAATACGAGGTTTTTGCAAGAAAGTTTTGCAAACTTTCTTGTCTCGAAGGGGAAGGGTGTTATGGATGATTACTGTAAAAATAAATATCTAGAAATTTCTAGAATACCTAGTGATGCTGACATGCATACACGAAATTTCCACTTTCATGCCATGGAACTTTCTGGAACACTCTATTAAGTCACGTATTTATGATATCATACAACCAAAAAGTTGTGTTGTAAGCTTCCGGAATTTTTTTTGGAATAGTTTGTAAATGTGTGTAAGTACTCAGTCGTGTAGAAGTAGTTGTGGTTGTCAGGAGTGACGGACTGTTTGGAAAGCAAAACAGAGAGAGAGCTACTGTGGAAGACTGTTCGTTTTGAGGACAACTGTGAGATTGTGTCAGTGGTGAGTTAATTTCTAGTTTGGGGTGGGTTAATCAATTCAGGTTGTTACGGATAATTACCGTCTTGTCATCAGGAGTCGCTCCTTAGTATAAATATTACGCGTTGTTTCATAAAGTATTTGGGTTTGTAGGAGTATAGTGTTCCTACCGTAACAGCAATATCTGCTGCGAACATTGCATTTAATATGGCAGGTAATTTAGTGTTAACGACTGAGTTGAAAACAGGAATAAATTAGTTGAATGGAAAGCGCTCGTTGATACCGTGGGGATTAAGAGAGCCGATTTGGAAGATAAATTTTTATTTTAGTGTTTTGCAGCTTTCCAAACTGCCTAGATGTTAGGAAAGACCGCAATAAGGCTGCCATATGTTGTTTAGAATGATTAGGGAGATTAAACTGTCTGGCGACCAGGGATTAGGAAGGTTTAACAGGCAAATGAGCCTATGGCCCCTATCATTGGAAAGTTATGGGCCATTTATAAAACGTTTGGGCCATTAGGGTAAATAAATGGGCCAGTAAAAATTTTAACAAAGGTTTATTGCTTGTGTATTACAGTCTATACCTATACAGAGACATGGTTTTAGGCATGAAAAACCGTTGCCATGAATAACCATCCGCTATATTAACTTCAAGTGATCTTCAAGGTTTTTGAAATGTCGTGTGACCACCAGAACAAAACGGTGATAATAAATTGCTATCAACCATTCGGCAGTTCAGTAATTGACAGTGGTCTTCTATAAAAGCTGCACTGTGTTGAAAAATGTAGACAACGTTCTCTGCGAGCTGTCCAATCTCAAGATTTTTTTCGGAGGCATGAGGCTAATCGATGCAAATACATTCAAAACGACGAAAACGCTCGAACTCTGCTCGAAAACGAAAGCACATGGAACTCCGAGCAATAGCCTCGTTTGCATGCAAAGTCCGAGTTCAGGATCTGGGAACAAGAATGAAGCGAGCGTGATCAAACGAGCGAAGGCACCGTAGTTTTTCGCTTGTTTATGTCTCACCAAAGTGAAACTTTTACAAATAAAAATCCTTTTCACAAAATAGTTTATATTTCACTAGCTTTGTGCGGTCAGGGCGCATCACAGGCCCGGTAAGTATTTTTATAATGGGCCATTTCGTAGCTTTATGCGCCATACGCGCATGGCGCACGGCCTTCCTAATCCCTGGGCGACCGGCTTGGATGCGTCCTCGTCAATTTTTTTACGTCGCGAAGGTGTTCTCGGAATCTAGTCGTCTTCCTGTTTCACCAATCTATAATTTATTGCAATAAGTGCAAGTTATGCAGTAAATGATATTGGCGGAGGTACACGTAAAGTGATCAATGATCTTTATGGATCTCTTGGGTCCCGATATTTTCTTTACGTTATGAATGAAAGGATTTAATTTCCCTGGCCAAAACAAACTTATTTTCACTGTGGATATTACATCTCTTTATACTGTCATTCTCAATGACGAAGGTCTCCGGGCCCTCAAACACTTTTTCGATCAACGTACTTACATTCAATTACTTTTCACTCCGTGGTAACTACTACAAACAAGTCAATGGCGTAGCCATGGGTACTAAAATGGGACCCAGCTAAGCAAATCTTTTCGTAGGTTTTATCGAACATCAATTTTTTAGTCAATACCATGGCCCCAAACCTAAACTCTTACATTGACGAAAGCATCAGCGCTACCTCCTCTACCAGAGAGGAGCTCACTCAATTTATAACCGCCTTCAATTCCTTTCACCCGGCTCTTAAATATACCTAGGAAATTTCTTTAGCTTTTCTAGACATCAAAGTTTCAAATGAAGGCAACAGTTTATGCACTAGTGTTTAATACAAACCTACAGATTCACATAGTTACTTGCTGTATTCATCTTCGCATCCATCACACGTCAAGAATTCTGTTTCTATTTCACAGTTTCTCAGACTTCGTCGCTTATGTAGTGACGACTCTGATTTTTCCGAAAAATCAGAAGCAATAGGCTAATTTTTCGATAAACGTGGCTATCCTTTTTCTGTGGTTCAAACGGGCCACCACTGCGCCCAACAAACAAATCGACAGTCAGCACTACAAACGGCTGAAAATGAAAACACTGACTACATCCATTCACTCTCACAACCACGCAGTTACATCTATCATTCTTAAAAACTTTAAATTACTCCAAAACGATTCAGATATTAGTACTATCTTTTCGCAACCCCCACTAATTTCATTCAAACGAGACAAAAACATAGCCAACTTTTATCCCTGGATCCTAGTGCATCATTTTGGCACAAAAATCAAACCAAAATACAGAAAGAAAATAAAGAACAAAAAAAGCAAAAATACGAAAGTTTAAGGTAACTCGAACTTGACTCGCGCTCGAACTTAGTACAACGCCTGGCTTGTGATACAGTTTTCCACCGTTTGATGTGACTAAATAGAGAATAATACACGTAGCAATGGAATTCCTCTTCGAGTGTCTAACTCGATAGCTCACGAGTGAGTGCAGCGAACGAGTGAAACACGGAAAGCAATCTTGAATTATTTTGCTAATGCTATAAATACAATAGGCCTTGAACGACGGACAAGAAAAGTTGACTATATTAATGAATAAAAAAATGGGATCAGGGTTTCATCCTTTTCATTTAAAACGGTTTTACATGCCAATGAAAACTCTGCGTTTTGATTGATTGAGTCTTGACAAGCCAAGATCCCTGTGTTTGTATGTTTCTTGAGGGCATTTCGCTGCGCATGCGCTAATAAAGTTTGTTCGGCGCCATTTTCATATTTTCAGCGCGCTTCAGCGCATTTTCAACTGGGTGATCGACACCTTTTTGTCATATTTTTTGGAGAGGGATGAAAGTGTATGACAAGTTTACCACCATTTCTAAGTCTGTGGATACTCGTGGTGTTTGCTGGCTCTTCGGATGACTATATTTTAATGATCAAAGTGCGAACAAAACGCGAAAAAAGGCCGAAAACTTGAAGTTTAAGATTTGATTTACTGACGATCAAGATGTGCATATGAGACTACAAATCTTCAAGGTTGATCTCAAGATGTTCATGTCTTACTTCTATGAATTACGAAGTTGTATGTGGAGACGATCGTGAGATATTCGTTTCGGTAATAGAAGGTAGTTTAGAATTTGATCTTACTTTACTTCAACTTTGAAATAAAATTGCGTAAAGTTTGAGGTGGCCCCCAAGCTTCAAATAACATCGTCTTTTCTTTCTTTTTGTGGTCACTTTGGATATAAGGCTTTAAAAAATGTTTCAGCCTCAGGATTGAGTTGCTCTTACAACAACCTTCGGCGAATTCGTTTTTGGCAGGTCGAGGTGGATTTTCCAAGTCATGGCTCACGAGTGTCTCTGGCCTTTTTGCTCTCTAAGTCTGTTGTACATGGTATGTAAGCATGTGTCTTAACAACGGTTATAGTCTTACCTCAATCATCTCCGGTTTTATCTTAGTTTCGTTCTGTTTTTTGGTGAGAATTTTTTTAATTGCCTTTTTGGGCTTGAAGTGCTAACTAGAGGATAAACTTCGGCAAGACTTATTTATCACATGGCCCCCAAATCCCTCACCACTGTCAGTTCATTGTTTATTTATTTAGCTTTCGGTCTAACCAGTTCATTAAAAAATACGGGGGCTTTGTCTCATTAGTTTGAACTGGTGCCGTTTTCTTCATGTTCATGTGTTATTCGAAACGAATGGCATCAGCTTCATTCTCTCTTGTTTATTTCAGTACAATACTTCTGCCATGCGAAGTGAATTTTGAGTTGAAGTGTACTATGAAACTCGCAGATTAAAATTATCAAACTTTCTCTGGTTCTTAAAATATGAGACGAGTGATGCAACAAATGGATAATTACTCAAGGGACTGGAACTCCTTGTTTCTTTAGAATGTTAATTACAGTATTTCTCTCGTATTTGAAAACGAATTTCAGATTGAAATGTCTTCAAACCTGTTTGACTTGCATTTAACTTTGTCAGAAATGTCTTGATCCTTCAATTTGAATTGCGGTGATTTCGCCAACGTCTTTGGTCGCTTCGCCAACGTCCTACTGGTCACTTCGCCAACGCCAAATATCTAGTAATAACTTAGTAAAAAGGGTGCTTACTGATACTTCGGATGTGATGTTGATACTTGGGTCAGAACATTTTTAAGTTAATGCTTGTTTCGCTTGGCTGACTTTCAAACAATTTGCATATTTTTGACAGATCCAGAAAAAGCCGGCGTGTGAGCACTAAGATCGCGGTAATTTAAAACTGTTGAATAACAAACTCTGATGGCTTCCAAATGTGTTTCAAAAATGTTTAAATCAAAATTTTACTTGAAAAATGCGTTACGATGTGAATTAACGAGTTACCATTTTTCAGAAGCAATCAGAGTTTGTTTTCCAGCCTTCAAAACGAGTCAGAAATAAAATATAACAAGTACAATATCAACAACATTTTAATTACAATACGTACTTTTATAAATATTTACAAGTGCAAAATATTTTAGTGGAAAACCTATTTACAAAACCTTCTGATTCACAAAATATTTTCCATGCAAAACTTATTTACAAAACCTGCTGATTCAAAAAAATGCTTTAGTCAAAACCTATTTACAAAACCTGATTCTCAGCTTACTTCACGCTAGTTCAGTTCGTTCATGATCAGTTAGAGCGCGCTGGTCCATTCAAACGCGAGCACGTCCTGAGTAGTTGAGCAGCGGTTTTCTCGTAGTTTCTGGCGTAGACGGTTGGCTGCTCGCGCGATGTACCAGTAGGACGTTGGCGAAGCGACTTTTCGCTTTGGCGAAGCGACCTAAGACGTTGGCGAAATCACTCGTTGGCGAAATCACCAGATACCTTCAATTTTTATTTCTTATTTGAGACTGATGATAGGAATTAACTTTTATGTTCTCTGCTGTTTAGGGAGATGTGAAGTGACACCACTACATATAGTTGGTACTATTGACAGAGTGAATAGGTGCGACGGTTATTGCGACAAGCTGGTATTCAAGAGATTGTCTTTAGTACCAGAAGCTTACTACTGGCATAAATTATCAATCTTTTATTCTCTCCAGGCAACTTCCCTCGACTAGTTTATGCTACATGCATACTTTTTTTGCAACTGTAAAATTACCAAAAAAGTTTTTGAAAGTTTTGTTAAAATTTCATTGGAAAAGAACAGGAGGAGATATCAGGTGAAGTATTGTCACGTTCCCTGAGAGTGTTTGAGCTTCCGGTGAGAGCTATAAAATTTTTTAAGTATCTGAGATATGATTTGTCTGCCATAAAATTGGCACAACCAAACCCCCGGCTAGTAAACTATAAATTTCCTCAAATAGGCATCCAACCTGATGCCCGTTACTGCAAATTATGTAATGTCAAAGTCCCCTTTTGAGATAAGTCTCAATTTTCTAAAATCTGATAGATGTAAATCATCTGTTTTCCTAAAGGGATCTACGAACCTCTTCACCTTAGTTTCATCTGACCTTATTTAGTCTTGTTCCCAGGAAAAAAAGACTTTTGGAAATATTTTGTTTTTATCCTCACTGTTAAATATCAGCCTTAGTGGTTCTTTATTGTTGAGCATGTAATAAGAGTCTTTTCAGACCATCAAATTGTCACATAACTCTTGTAATTTAAAGGGTTGGAGAATAAGGTTAAAAAGAGTGTAAACGATTTTGTTGTGCAGTGGAAATGATAGAATGAATGTGATTAGGAAATAATTGATTTAGTTGACCATTCATATTACAACTGGAAGCCCAAACTAGTACTTGTTTTAACTCACAGTTTCCCCGCATCATTGATCATATCTAATGATATTTCCAAGACTAATGATTGAAAAGACTTTTCCTTACTCTGATAAAATCCATAATTATTCCTCCATTCCTAACAAGCTCTTTCATGTAACGACCGTATCTCTAGTACAAACGTTGTCTCACCTTTCTTAACTTGACATTGGGCTCTTTTGTTTTAGTAATCGGCGCCGCCGGTTGGGATTCACTTGAAAAAAAACATAAACTTCTGTAAACTGTAATTTCTCGCTAAAATTGGAAGAACGTTGCACTAGCAGTACAGTTGAAGCTCTAAAAAACGCCCACAGGAAAGTGAGTACTTAAAATGATCAACGATAGGTTGAGATAGCAATGACACGATAAAAGTATAACATCCAATTCGTTTGTGCTCTTCAACAGGCCACTTGCATCCTTCACAAATAACATCATCTACATTGATCGCCCAAAAAAATCAAAAGACATGCCCGTGGATATCTCGCAACTTATCTATTCGGCCTCTAATCTGGATGTTCCCAAAGGAATTGCGGAAATTGTAAGAACAAAATCTTTTAAGTTCCTTAAGGGAACTTCCTACCACATACCACACAACAATTTTAAGACTTCGCCGCTTCCATCTAAGTTACAGCGGGAAAAATGACGAGAAAAGTTGTCTCAAATACTCGATCCATTGTTGTTTTCCGAAGTATTTTCCTGCTTCTTTCCTTTCGCGATTACCAACACAGGCGCATGCCAGCGGTTTCTCGCATCGAACTAAAATTTACAGGACATGCGCAGCAAGATGCCCTTCTGCTCGTTTCTTGTCTAATGAATTGATATGGTCGTTGAAGGAATTTGCGTTGGGAACAAAAACTTGAGGCTATTAACCTTATCTTGACGACTGTTGATGACCAGCCGCTTCAAGGAAAAATGACATATATTTATATAAGCGTACTTCAAGGCGGCCCACGGGTAGCATAAATAAATAAAACCGGGCTTTCTGCCAGTAAATACCCATCAAAAAGATTCCGATTTTTCAATGTACTGACCGAAAATCCAATATACTGATCGAAAATTTTTATTACAGTAACCAAAAGAAAATCGATATTACTTTCTATTTTTTTGAAGGAACTTGGTTGGCCCAATTTATATTTTCCTTCGGCTTAACTTCCCTTTAATCTCAATAATTTAGTGCTTTGTAAGTGTTAAGTACTACGACATTATGCAAGTTTTCGTGTATCTTGAAAGGGCTTTGTAGGTAGGTTCAGATATTTTCCAGGGAGGCATTTCGTGAGCCATAATCTAATGTAAACAGTAAACGACTGGATCACCAATATCACGGATATTGTTGGCGTGTAATTTTGAGTTCGCTGACTTTCATGATTGAAGAAACTGAAAATTGCCGAATTCACTAGAGTCGTTATGGTAGAAAAACTCTTTCATGCGGTTAAATTTTTGCGTGACTTTCATTTACATGCATGCATGTGCAACAACTCTTAACTCATGTCAACCAAATGTAAGGAAGAGTCGCTGAGATTTTATATAACAAGGTGCAAATAGGGTGGTGAAACATACAATAACATGCTTAGTCGAAAGAAAATGCCTCGTGATTATTTTAACAGAACAGTTGTAATTCCTATCGAAAGAGCTAGACGGCCGTTCACAGCTTCGAGATCAATTAGCTTCGTTTTCAGCGATCGTAGGAAAGAAAGACAGACATCCTATAGTTTGAGACTAAAGATAGAAAAGCTCATGGTTCAAGTTAAAACATCAACATGACTATTCTTACCTCAGCCGATTTCGACGGAAAATGATGCTCTCTCTCGAACATTTAGCCATGAAGTTCACTCTCACACCCATCCAATCTGCTGCATACTTTCACTCTTTTCCTCTTCTCCTCGATTTTGCCTATTTTGCTGCTGGTAGCGCGATTACTAAGCTTCAGAATACCCTTCGGGTAAATTAAGCCTGGGTCAGTGGTTAGCTGGGACCCCCAGCGTGGTTTTTAGTAACATCACGACACGCGCGTGAAGTTTGTAATTTGAGGAAGATAATGAAGAAACCAACACGTACTTCGCGTGTGCGAAGCGATGAATCTATCTCCGTTATTGCTTTCTTCCTTCCCTATAATTTAAAAACCTCATATTCTAAGGGTCGAAAGCCCTGAAAAATGGGCTTTGTAAAGCTCAGTCAAAATTTGTAAGCTTAAATACTTCGAGGAAACAAGTTTAACGAAACATCTTTTAAGTCTGCTTTTAATTCGAGGTAAGATTACAATGTTTGTCGCACAGCTTTATTAAATACGTAACGATGAAATGTTTGCCGTCCGGATTGCGGACGGTCATAGAGTTCGTCCGGGTCATGTCAAGCCCGGAGAGATTTTAACAATTAGTTTTCGAGGCCTGCGTGAAAATTATGTGTTGTCGGTCATTAGAAAGTCATGGGAAATAATAACTAAGATTTGTACATGCATCGGCACACAGGTCCAAGGTAAGACAAATTTTTAAACCTAATCTGTGCAGTTTGAACTGCTTGCATCTTGTCTGAATGTTGCCTTCTGCATTGATGATCATTTTTTCATACTAGGAACAACAAAGTATTTTTATTAATAGAAAATTTTAACAATAAAATAGCATAATTTTATTGGTATAGCAAATGTGTTGCATTTACTTCACTGGATCTATCACTGTTTATATTTACACAATATTTTAAAGGGAGTAAGTGAAAGAATCATTTTATTTTTTTGAAAACTGTTAAAAGACATTTCAAGTAGGCATGGAACATGGACTCAGAAGGTAATCCCTGTTTTCACTGACCATTAACAATAATTAAATATTACACAACCTCAATTCCTGGGTTGTGATCCTTTTGTTTGGCACCAAAAATCAAGGGCTCTGGTCAAAACTGTTATGTTGCAGCTTACACAGAAACTGGTTTCCCATCATGTTTTTTGTGTTTTGTTTGTTTAACCAGTCAAGCAGATGTAAAAAAGAAATTGATTTCTTCCAGATCCTATATGTTCATAGTGCTGAGAAAAAAGATAACAGCTCTGGGATCAAAATATGTTAAAGTTAACAGCTCTGGGATCAAAATATGTTAAAGTGAGCTCTGGGATCAATTATTTCAATATTTGGTTCAACTTGTGTTACCTCTCTAGGAACTATAAGCTCACCAACTGTAAATTCTCCTTCCTGAATTTGAAGTTTCAGTTTCTCTTTTAAAGCATCATTTGTTTCTGGTGTGGGGATGGAAATTTCACCACCAAGTCCTTTTAATTTCTTTCTTCTGGGCTGTCGCTCAACTTCAGTATTACATTTAAA